AAAAGACTGGACGACCATTAGTCCAAGATGGTATGAGGACTCCTGCCTTGGGCAGGGGGTTGGACTAGACAACCTCCACGGTCCCTTCCAACCCTAGGATTCCATTTAGTATCAGCTATGAAACTAACAGTTGCATTCACACAACACACTGAAGTAGATTAAGGTTAACTCCTGTCACATTTTTTCCAGTTTCATTTCCTATACCAGCCAAGCCCATTTGGTGACTCACTGTATTGTGCAAATATAGAAAATGGAATTATTCAGTAACCAAGTGAGGACTGTTGTATGAAAGCAGCTATTCTACTGTTTTTTAAGAGTGGGAATGTGTGCGTATTTTGTGTTTTGCTCATGGGGACAAATAAAGCACATAATCTCTTCTGGCTTTGGAGATCGCAACAAGTATAACCTGTTTAGCAAAGAGTGTTTCTTCAGCCATGAGGACTAGAAACATGTCAATTTCCAAATTAAAATGTGATTCCCCCCCCCCAGGAATCTGCCTCCCTGAGCTTGGGAGAAGGAACTGTCCACATTCTCCAGCACTGCCAACTTCATGCACGCCCCTCCATCCTCCCACCCCATCTGAGCAGGATCGGGACCCTCCAATGCCATTCCGTGTGCTAATGCAATGCAAATTTCATCCCCATCAAATTGCTTTTTTGGAATGATTACCCTTGTAACTGACTGTCAAAGATGCAATTTATTTCCAGCCCTCCCCGCAACGCCTGCTGCTCAGGAAGGGAGAGCGGCTTTGCATCTTGTTACTTCCTAAGAGCCTGATTATTTATAGCAAGGGAGTGGGAACAGAGAGGTGGTGTAAGGAGCCAGAGCAAAGACACCTTTGGGGTGGGGAGGGGGGAAGAAGATGCCCCAGCTTATGGCTCCCAAAGCATCCCATACGTGAGGGTTCCACTCCTGCCCCCCAATGCCATTTTCTGAATGAGATTTTCCTTTTTTTGAAAGGTCTCTGCCACCTGTCAGCACCTGCTCTATTTAAACCTGGTGCCAGCTCCAGATGTACCTGATTTCAATTCCCATCATCCACAGCCACAACAGCAGGAGTAGATCTATGTTTCTTTCTAGTTAACAGGGCTCTCGAGCCACTTACAACTATTACAGAAAAATCTTTAGGAAGGAAAAAAACCTGCATTTCTGTTCCCAGGGACTAGAAGCATAGCATAGCTGGTGACAAAAACCAGTTCAAAGGAACACAGGCTACCAGTCCAAAGAGTGAAAGAGCAGATCTGCCTCTAAAAAACTCCAGTTCCAAATTCCAAAAGCAATTTTTCCCATTTTAGCATCCTTGAGATGCACTGGGGTTACAGCTCCACTCATCCAGAGCTATGATGGGCAGAGATTATGGTGTTTGTAGTTGCCACTACAAGGCTGCTCTAAGTCCCAGTGGGGGCCCCTTTGAACATTGGGGAGGGGTCAGTTTCCATGGCAATGGCGAGCGATGCGGCATCATGCAAATGATCTGCACGGCGGGGTTATTTATAAATCCTTGTCTGCCGCAGCTCATTGGTTAATGAGCCTAATTAACATTCGGCTTCTAATTAGCCAATCAAATTAAAACCCACACCTGCAAAGTCTGAATTGAAGTCTGAGTTCCCTGCAACCCAATCCTCCCCCCACCAAACCACATACACAAATATTTTTGAAAGGCTGCAGAGGATCCAAAGTTGAAGATTGCCTCCCTCTAGTTAAAAACATATACATTTTCCCTCTTCTTTACCCCAGTCAAGTATTGCAAAGTTTAAACTCTTTGGCTGGATGCATACAACACACTTCATCAGACCAGGTTAAGCATGTTATCCAAACTCAGGCCATTCGATAAGTTTATAACTCCAACGTCTTGCAAACCCCAAATTGGTCAATTTGTCACAGGTCATTAATTTGGGAGCCAGCCTCTACTTAATGCTCCAAAAATGCACAGAAGCATTTCCTACAGCTCGCAATGCACCTTTCTCAAAAGCAAACTGCATTCATATTATGATCATCGTTATTATTACTATCACTAGCCTTATCATTGCGTTATTATCATCACTAGCTAACCCTGCAGAGATGGGGCACCCTACAAATGCATTTCTCAAAAATGCATCAAATCATACAAAAGTAAGGCTGCCTCTGCCAAGATACTGTAAATGTCTAATCAATGCTCCACCAAAATAGAAAAGTGATTTCCAGCAGCAAAAGAACATGGACTCCACCAGGGCTGCCCCAACCTGGCTGGGAAAACCTGTCTGTCTGAAATCCAATGCTCTAGCGCTCATAGGAAGTTTCATTTAGCTGATCCACTGATACCCCTCCAGATTAGCCCAAAGTAGTTTACACATTCCTCCAATGCACCATGTTACCTCTCACAACAACCCTGTGGAAGAGGTCAAATTGAAAGACGCAACTTGTCTGGTGCAGATTTCCAGCAACATGTGAACCAAACCAATCAACAGAATTAAAAGTCATCAAGCATTCCAAAAGAGGTTTTAGCCTAGAGTTAATCCCCCAGCCGATGTGGGGGAAGGCTGCTGTGCTCAGGGAAGGCCCAACTGTCAGGGATGATGATGCTGGGATTTCTTACCTCAAAAAAATCTGGAAGGCACTCAAGGCTTTGGGAGGACATAAGTATTAAGAAAACTTCCCAAAGTTCCACAAAAAACTTCCATCCTATTAAGCCGACATCTGGCTTGTTTATTTGGCCATCGCATGTTATCTAGACCAAGAAGCTGCGGTTCATTAACCCAAGTTGAGTGTGCTTTGTGAACAAGTTTATGTGGTTAATTTACAGCTCAAGGCATTGAAACCACATTGACTGTTGCAGCAGTGAGTTCCAGGGATGGGCATCACCAAACCCACTGCAAGGTTTTTTCCTGGGGGCACTGCAGCACCATTGGAGCCTTGACCCCCATCAGTGGCTAGCACATCCTCGATGGCGTCGCTTCCATCACGGAACCTCCGTCTCCCACTCCTGTGGTTCTGACAGACTACCTCAGCATCGGGTGCTGCTGTGTCACCTTAGGAGTGTCACCACAGCCTGTGAAGACAAGTGTGAACAGCCTTCTTCTGCTCTCCCCACCACTTCTCTGCCTCCCTAGGTGGCCCACCCGCCATCTCGACAACTGCCTTTGCAGTACTTTATTAGTACGATTTATTATAGCGGGATGGATAAACTGGGTTACCCAATTCATTCAATGGGGCTGAGTTAGTTTATTTATTACAATTTATATGGCTGCCCACCTCAACATTGTAACTCTGGGTGGCAAACAACAGTTTAAAACATGCAATAACAGTAACACCACAATAAATACGTAATTGGCAGCCAACACAACCATCCTATAGGCTCTGCCGCATGTTCTGACACCCATGCTCCTAAATCAGAGAAAAAACAAAGCCTGGCCCCAACTAACCAATGTTCACAAGAGCCACTGCAGCCGCTAGAATCTGTGTTACCCTGGTTAACCAGGATGTGTGAACACAGCTGGCTGGCCAAGAACAGCAAGAGCAGCAGATGGGTTCCCTGGCAAAATCCAGGAAGGTTCATTTCCTGCCCAATGGTAACCTAAGAACGTGCCCTGCTGGAGGGAAGGGTGAGCAAACCAGCATATGGCCAGGAAAAATGCAGGCGGTTTCTGTTGCAAAAGGGGCCATGTTTTCCAGTCAGTTTCCACACCTGCACAAGCCCAGTGATCAAAGATTGATGCTTCTTCTCATGCTTGCTCACACTAGGACCACTTTCCTATCAGGCGGAGTTCACTCCCAAACCATTTCATTTGGTGACTGGATTAATTCATTTATAATTTGGGTGCAAGACACCAATTTAGAAACTAAGCAAGACGGGGCAGGTTCAGCTAACATGCAGAATCACAAAATCATCTCCCCAAAGTTAACACTACTTGAGTTTCATGGGTTGTGCGAATAGGCCTTCACTAACTTAGTTACGGGCATTGTACAGAAACGGCCAACTGAAGCCACTTTCCCCAGCAACCCCAAGAAGGGAGAGGCTCAGGTAAGGCAGCTCAGTGGTGAAAACACCATGAGGGAAATTGGGGAGGGAGGGGGGAGTGTTCCAAAATGGGGCTCCATTGGAGCTTGAAC